AATGACAAAAACATAACGGTTGAGTAAATATACACAGAAAAATACTTGAAAAACGAATGTAACAACGTGTGACAGTACTCGAAAAAATAAGATATAATAAAAAAATATATAAATTTTGACAAGTTAGGCGGTAACATAAAACATCTAATTCGAAAATTTTAAAGATTTTTAAAAAAGTTGACACACAGAACTTGCCGGTATTATTTCACCTAATATGTTTGAAATCGTTATTACTGCCGATATATACCATCATATATATATATATATATATATATATATATATATATATATATATATATATATATATATACAAGTATATGATTGGTGTATACGGAATAAATTCCAATAACCAACAATTACTATTCTTAAAAGAGTGCCCAATACAGAGTAGAGCGGATATAATTATTTATTTAAAAATTATAACATAAATAGTTATAAAATCACTACAAAAATAGCCATTTCGTTTCAACACCATAGCTATTTTTGTAGTGATTTTATAACATATTTATGTCATAATTTTTAAATAAATAATTATATATATATATATATATATATATATATATATGAAGAAATATAGTTTTAAGGCGTGCTATATTTATGGGATAAAGTGCACAATGTCAGAGGTAGAGCGTATGTAAATATAAATATAAAAGTGAACACTGAAGTTAACACTCAGAGGCAACGAGCTGTTTCACGCTGGACGCAATCGTCAGGCCGCCTATATATATGTTGTAAACGTTGTTATATAATCCAAGTGAATCCTATTAACACAATATAAAATATTAAATATTGAAAATCACACATAGAGCTCAAGTTTTTATAATAAATAGATCAATATATTTTATACAATAGGAATTAAGATACCCTTATGTAAATGATGGTTTATCCTCTCTCCCACCTCACTTCCTCATTTCGTTAACTTTGCGTATACTTGATGAGGTCCGTAAAAAACGTGTGAATTTCTTTTCATTTTTCATTTCAGCTTTTGGAAGTAAAGTCTGATGATCCAGAACCCTGTTAAAGGGGTTATGGTGAAATAGCTTATTACATGGAATCTTAACGTGGTCTGTCTTTTTATTCAAACATATCTGCTCTGAATTTTACATTGAGCTCTCTGGATATCATCCTCCTCGAGTCTACCCATACGGATTACCTAAATTTGCATAAATATATATATATATATATATATATATATATATATATATATATATATATATATATATATATATATAAAGTTAAAGGAAAAACTTATGTGAGACAAGGCATTTTGTACTCAGATGGATTTTATCATGAAATGTAAGGATTTGACAGTTGGAAAGGATCAGCATAAGATGGCTATAATATTCAATGAGACATGTTAGAATATATATATATATATATATATATATATATATATATATATATATATATATAACTAAAATAAATCCTAAAGATCCAGGAAAACCTACCTAGGTTTCACCTTAATGGATCTTCAGGGTAAGCCAGCTTTAGGATTTTTCAAACATTCAATGGATGTTTGAAATAAAAACAAACAAGGATGTGGAAAGAAGGAAGGAAAAAACAGGGGAAAAAAGAAGATGAAGAATGGAAAGGAAGGAAAAGTGGCAAACGAAACAGAAAGTGGTGTAAGTTTTGATATGAGTGGTGGTAAGAGGAGAAAAGAAGAGAGAAAGAGATGGTCTATTTAATATACCCAGTAGAAAAAAGACAGTGTATAGACCAAAGAAACTTAATTTGATATATGTTAATTTGGATGTATTCATCCTATGCTATTTTTCCCCTTTATATTATATTTTTTATATTCCCCTTAATAATCCTTTCTGATATATTTGTTGATTTAATACTTTTTAATTCTGAATTATCTGTCTTTCATATTTAGGCGTCTCTCTCATATTATTTTATATAATATTTGTTGTTCTTCATTAATTTCTAAAGGTTCCCTGGGTCTAGATTTTTGGACATCAGAAATAACAGTGGAGAAAATATTTGACAAAGTGGAACTGTTTCTTCCTTCAAGGTAATCATCGGACTAAATTTGCTAAATTTTTTCATCTACTATATATATATATATATATATATATATATATATATATATATATATATATATATATATATATATATATATATATATATTTCATTAAATAATATAGGCAAGTAGTGTCTATTTCTTTTATGTAAATTCTTTTCATATTGTCTGATAAACTTAATAACATTATCATTACCCGAAGAAAGAAAATCACAATATTGATCTATATTTTTTAATCCAATCTAAGCTTTCGGCTTACATAAGCCATTATCAAAGATGACAATTACAGTACAATATATTAAGCAATATACGGAGAAGACAGTGATGATAGTCTGTTTCTGTTTACATGGATGATTTCCAAGCAACGATAAGCACGTGCATATAAGACGCTGGAAGCAAAAATTGCACCACGTGAGAGTGAATTCGAGAAGTATTAAGTATGGGAAGCCATTGGTATAAATGTCTATAATTGGTAACAGAAGCCATTGGTTTATATTATATTATTTAATGAAACATGTATGAATGAAAAATGCTGCCGAAATACACAATATATATATATATATATATATATATATATATATATATATATATATATATATATATATATATTGATTATATGCAGAAATGTCTCGTCTAATGTGCACATCGGAAACTATAAAGAATGAACCCTATTTACATTATTCAGATTATTGTCCTCATCTTTGTCGCCATATTTATTACAAGGTTTCGCCCGTTGTATGTTCCGACCTTCTTCCAGTTGATAATACACAGAAATTCATACACAGATGTCCTTAAGGACACATGGCACAGTGGATGAAGGCGTTGGTTAGATCCAGTGACAGAACCCAAAGATTGTCAGTTCAGTACCCTGTTAAGGCAGTGGAGAACTTGGAGAGGGGAATTAACAGGAGATAACTGACAAATGGTATCTATTAAAAACATGGCACTTGCAACTGGAACAGTCTACTCTAGTGAGCGAAAGAAAGGGTTCAGTTCGACATTCCAACCACCTGAAGAAGGCCGTAGCGTACAACGGCCGAAACGTTGTAATAAATATGGCTACAAAGATGAGGACAATAGTCCGAATAATGTAAATAGTGTACATAATACCTCATCTCAGAAATATAGACAGATACAGATATGTATGTGTAACACGACGTCTGATATAGATGCTACAGATTCATGAAAAATAGTCACATATACTGCTTGCTTTTTAGATTCTTCGTTTGTTACGCGTATATATGCCCTTCTGATACCTCATAGATAATGGGCCTTTCAGTTTTGATCGCGACCAAAGACAATTCAGCGACGCTGTTTGGTTCCATGGCTAATTGGGATCCCGGCCCAAAACTAAACGGGCCTTTGGTCTAGCTTAGAAAATAGCAATAATAATTTAGGAAAATAACATTGAAAGTTCAATTTGGGCCGAAATCTGATTTTTGCGGAAAGTTCAATTTGGGCCGAAAGTTCAGTTTGGGCCGAAAGTTCAGTTTGGGCCGAATGTTCAATTTGCGCCGAAAGTTCAGTTTGGGCCGAAAGTTCAGTTTGCGCCGAAAGTTCAGTTTGGGCCGAATGTTCAATTTGCGCCGAAAGTTCAGTTTGGGCCGAAAGTTCAGTTTGCGCCGAAAGTTCAGTTCGAGTTGCGCCGAAAGTTCAGTTTGGGCCGAAAGTTCAGTTTGCGCCGAAAGTTCAGTTTGGGCCGAATGTTCAATTTGCGCCGAAAGCCGAAAGTTCAGTTTGCGCCGAAAGTTCAGTTTGGGCCGAATGTTCAATTTGCGCCGAAAGTTCAGTTTGGGCCGAATGTTCAATTTGCGCCGAAAGTTCAGTTTGGGCCGAAAGTTCAGTTTGCGCCGAAAGTTCCGAAAGTTCAGTTTGCGCCGAAAGTTCAGTTTGGGCCGAAAGTTCAGTTTGCGCCGAAAGTTCAGTTTGGGCCGAAAGTTCAGTTTGCGCCGAAAGTTCAGTTTGGGCCGAAAGTTCAGTTTGCGCCGAAAGTTCAGTTTGGGCCGAAAGTTCAGTTTGCGCCGAAAGTTCAGTTTGGAAAGTTGAAAGTTCAGTTTGCGCCGAAAGTTCAGTTTGGGCCGAATGTTCAATTTGAGCCTATAAATGAGTTCTTCAAATCCCAAACTGCGTGGAACTTCAATTGAGTTCTTCAAATCAGAAACTCTGGTCGCCTTCAAAGCCTCACGTCACGAAACCTCTTATTTTAACTCTGATTTCTTTGGCATTTTGAAGAAATAAAATTGATTTCATCAACTCACAAAGTTTTGTAGATATTTTAAACTGAATTTAAATAATAAAAAAATAAATTTAAAAAATTGTTGTGTTACTTTAATTTCAATATGAATTAACATTTTTTTTTTCAATTATTTCAAAATTTGAAGTTACTTCCTCAACCGGCCACAAATTCCATTGCTTTATGTTCAAGCACCTGATGAAATGAAGATTTTCAATTCCAGTATGATCTTGATTCCAGAAAGGGATAATATGTCTATGTAGAGCAAGTGTGGCCCAAATTAGAAGGGTTTCAGACAGACGGACGGACATACTGAAATTGCCATTTATTAGGTTGGTGCAAAAATAAGGACGTAATAATGTCGTTTTTTGACGTATTTTTAACGTCAAAAAACGACATTAATACGTCATTATTTTTGCACCAACCTAATATTTCTTTAGATTTCATTCGTATTTCAGGATGTCTATTTCTTTTTAACACTAAGATTGTGTTTAAGCTCTAAATGAGGAATTATTTCCCTGCAGTAACTTAATTCAATCATCAACATTTTACATATTTTTTATCCTTTCACCTTAAGCCAAAGATGTAGTTATATTTTCTGGTAAAATATATTTACTTTTCGAACACCGCATTATTTTCTTGAGAAAACGCACTAAAAAGTAAACGAATGTTCGATGCCATCGCACGCTGTATATGGAAGCGAGTGTACGGATCCCTAAATGTTAGGGCTTATGATCACATCAAATACCGGTTCCCATAGGATCACTGAAGTTAAGCAACGTTGAGACAGGTCGGTACCCAGATGGGTGACCGCTTGGTAATACCAGGTGCTGTAGGATTGGAAAAATATTTAGAATTCAGCATTAAATTACCCGTAGAGATGCTGATATGCCGCTAAAACAACTAATCTGTTAATGTACGCATGTCTTTTCAACTGAAATAATCATAAAAACATATTTCCAGTTTTTAATCTATAAGCTCTAAATGAGGAATTATTTTCCTACAGTAGCCTAATTCAATCATGACCATTCTACTGTGGGCTGTACTCGTTAGAATATTTTGTATTTCATTAAGAAATTGGCTACCAGGAATACTTTCAATGAGGGATACATCTACAACAGGGATTGTTGATGTTCCTATGTGCCACATTTTTGAGGATTCGATCTTCTTTCTTCTTCTTCTTCTTCTTCTTCTTCTTCTTCTTATTATTATTATTATTATTATTATTATTATTATTATTATTTTACGAAGGGCTCTATCTATGTATTTTTTTATTTTTGTCAGTGGAAAGTGTCATGATGTAATTTCTAACCTTATGTCTCCGGTAGAAATTTTACACACACCAGAAATCAAAGGAAATAATAATAATAATAATAATAATAATAATAATAATAATAAATATGGGATTATACCATCCACACAGACAGAAAATGAAGCAAATAGGCCGACATCATTGTCAAAAACCAGAAAGAAAAAAACTTGCCTACTAATTGAAAGCGGATTGTAATATAGCAACCAAAATTTGAAAAACTATCAAAATACAAAGACCTGGAAATTGAAATAAAAAAAATGTGAAATTGAAAACAAGAATCAAGTGGTAATAGGTGCACTTGGAATTATAAAAAATGGAACAAAACAACACATTGAAAGAATCCCTGAAACCCCAGCTTAAGAGACATACAGAAAATTGTCTTATTAAGTACAGCACACACACTAAGGAGAACTTTGTCTATGTAACGCTAGCAACTTCATCGGATAAAAAAAAAAAAAAAAAAATTAACATGAAATGTGGCCATAACAACACACCACGACCTGCCTTAGGTCTTTCCGCAGACTTGGTAGGTAGTGTGTCCATAGCAGAAATCGAATGATGATGATGATAATAATAATAATAATAACAAAATACAAGGACCTTGAAATAGAAACCTCAAAAATGTGGCACATGGGAACATCAACAATCCCTGTTGTAGTTGGAGCCCTAGGACTGGTTGGAAAAGATTGCAGTGGACTAATTGAAGGGATTCCTGGAAGTCCATGCCTCAAGGAGATACAAAAAATTGTTCTGACAAGTACAGCCCACACTTTACGAAGGGCTTTATTTATGTAATTTAATTTTTTTTTTTTTTTTTTTTTGTCAGTGGAAAGTGTCATGACGCCATTTCTAACCTTAGGTCCCTGGGCGGGACCCGGAAAGAAATGTGTAAACGCCAGAAATCAAAGAAAATAAAAATATAATAATAATAATAATAATAGTAATAATAATAAAAATAACGATAATTTCTAATTTTCTCTACTCTTCATGGGATCAATATCGGTGTCGAGACGTAAATTCCGATCAAAACGCAAAAAAAAAAAGAGAAAATACTAAATTATGAAAACGAAAAAAAAAAAACAGAAGTAAAAAAATTGCTATGAAAGAATTGAGTAACATTTGAAATTCAACTTTGCGCACACTCGTAGAAGGTTAAACGTTGGATCGGGAAACTGAATACCCGCGCAAGAAGAGACGAGAATTTGATTGAAGATGTTTGGAAAGTAACCAGTGTCTAAAATAAGAATGAATAGTTTAAATATAGAATTATTTCTTTTTTATTGATAGCAAATTGATAGAGGCGTAAAAACACGATCGATCGCTGCATTCTTAATACACTAAATAAAAATTGCAAACAGGGAATTTTGATACAAATTTGCACGCAATTACGAGTGTAACCTTTTCCCTTTTTCTTCTGACATTTGGGAAACTAAAAGAAATTATTTCTATATTCCGCCATCAGAAGTAGAAAGGAGTCTTTCTCTTTATAGAAAAATATGTCTGATATATTTTTCTTCGTTAATTCCAATTGTTCATTCAGAGAAAGAAAATAAAATTCTTATTCAAACCGGAACATAGGAGCATATTGCATATTTGTTGAGAACAGAAAGATTTTAAAAAATATTTAAAAATAAAGAATTCAAAGGTTAAACATAACTATGCAACAACAACAATAATAATAATAATAATAATAATAATAATAATAATAAGAAGAAGAAGAAGAAGAAGAAGAACATCGAAATCTCATAAATGTGGCACGTGGGAATATCAACAATCCCTGTTGTAGTTGGAGCCCTCGGATTGGTTGGAAAAATTCCAGTAGACTCATTGAAGGGATTCCTGGTAGCCAAAATCTTAATGAAATACAAAAAATTGTTCTAACGAGTACAGCCCACACCTTACGCATGGCGTTAACTATATAAATATGTGTGTGTGTGTGTGTTTGCTTTAATTGGTCAGTGGAAAATATCATGATACCATTTCTAACCTTAGGTCTCTGGGCGGGACCCGAAAAGAAATGTGTACACACCAGAAATCAAAGGACATAATAATAATAATAATAATAATAATAATAATAATTTGAAAATATTTAAAAATAAAGAATTCAAATTCTTTTAAAATCTATGGGACTACACAATACACACTGACAGAAAAAATCAAAGCCAACCGCCCAGATATTGTTATTTCATCTTTTTACCTCAGGAAACGGAATATAACAATCAACAACACGCATGTACCTGTCGGATCATTGACTTTTGGACCCTTTCAAATACCCCCCCACACGGTGTCGAATGGTTTCACAGCCCCACCTGACATGTTGATGAGGCGTCTCTGCATTATTAATATCTACATCATCATACAATTGTTTTAGGTGGCCTCACATAATAATCCAAAGGATTGCGGTCGGGGCGAATGTGCAGGCTATTGAACCGGTCCTCTCTTACCTCTTCCATCTTTCATGGTATATATCAGCCACTGCATCGCGAACAATGTGACTAAAATCTGCTGAAACCCTATCATGCATAAAATCAGCAAGTCTTCGTATTAGCAGGGCTACATCCTCTAGCAGGTCCGGAAGTGCATTGAAATTAATTCCCTATAGAAATCTCCTGTAATACATGAATTCATAAAATGTGCCTGTTACACTGTAAAGGTATACCTCGAATAGTTCTTGAGCCTTTTACTGCGCTGGTCAGTAGGAAAATTGCTATACTTCAAGACAGCACAAGTCAAATGATATTTCGTTGCAAAGATTTCTAATATTTAGAGCGTTGACATAAACACATAAATAACCGTTTAATTCGATGGCAGTATTGTATAAATGTACTAGATGTCATCAGTTCTTAACTCAGAAACTATGCTGATGACACAATAATTCATTCCTGTCTTATTAGTAAGTCTGATCGGTTCGATAAATTCAAATTGACAACTGATATAAAAACAATAACCTACAATCTGTTGTTAACTGGGGCAAGTAATGACTTGTTACTTTTAATGCTTCCAATCATCTGAAAGACCAGTTTCTAACACCTATCAGCTTCAAGAGGGTGGCTCGTTTCTTCTTCTCGTGTTAATGTTCTACGCTGATATGAATTGGAAATATTACTTTGAGACAATTTCTAGGTAAGCTGCTAGCAATTTTTTCTCTCCAGAAACTATCTTACATATATATAAGTTTAACCTTCGTTCATGCTTTGAATATTGCTGCCACATCTGATTTAGTTTCCCTGCTATATATTTAGAGAATTTTGATAAAAAAAAATCCAAAGACGAATCAGCAAAGTTATAGGGCCTGACATGGCATCGCGACTTCCCTCACTTTTCCACTACCGTAACGTATTTTCTCTGTGCTTTTTCTATGACCACTTTCATTGTATATTGTTCTTTATGAGGAGTAGTGGATAGCGGCTCGGATTGAAGAATCGGGGAGCCCAGTCCGAATTCCAGTCGAATCAATTACATTCACTTAGGTGCTAATAACCTTGGCAAAGGTATCCTCTTCTTCTCTCCTCCAGCTATGGGCAAATAGCGGAACAGACCGGTTTCTATAGTCTTGGGTGGCAACTGGTCTACAGCAGAAAGAAAATCTGCCTCGTCAGTCATGTATCGAAAGATACATGATCGCCTAAGCGTGTATCACACATGACTCATAAATGACTGGTGATACCTAAACTTTATGAATTTAAACGCAGTACTAGATTGGCGGTAAGGTCTCATCATTTTACAGTGGAAATGGCTAGATGTAACCGTAGGTTCTATGCTAACAGTCTCTTCGCACCCACTTCTCGATTGTGGAACTCGGCTTCTTGTTACCCAATCAATTTTGATCTTCCAAAATATAAATTCAAAGTCAGTCGTTATCTTCTGTCTTATTAATTCCTGTTCTTTTAGTGTCCTCTCTTCTTAACAGTAGTTTATCTCATATTATCTAAGAATCAGTAACCTCTAGCGTCTTAGTGGCTTTATTGTCTTGTTTGGAGTAAAATGATTTAAAAAAAAACAGCTTCATATTTTTGACTGAATTAAACATTGTTTAAATATATTTATCCTGGAATAAAAATTTCAGTCCTTTCAGTGGGTGATGGCTCTTCACAGCTTCTACTCTTTCGAATCTTCACCATCTCCATTCTTTGTGGTCTGTCCTCCGTTCTCTCAAACTCTTTTAGGCTACTCGCCGTTTTTTCTCTGTTTCTCTTGTCTTCAATATGCCCTGTGTGAGTGTGTTAAATTCTCTAGGCCATTTGATTTTAAAATCTGGCATTATTTTCCAAACAACCTAATACTTAGGACATATTTGTCTAATTATGAAGTAGATTAAGAGCTAATGACTTTTTCTTTTAACACTTAATTTGCTGGCTTTTCCCGTTAAGAAATTTGTATTTCCAATGCTTAGATTAGTCTGGTATGGACAGAAAAATGAGTAGCAAAAAAAAAAAAAAAAAGCAAGAATGATCAGATTGCCATCTTTGCTTTTTTTGCTATATCATTTCAGTGGGTAATGGCTCTTCACAGCTTCTTCTCTTT